CCTTCCTTCCTACCTTCTTTCTTTCTTTCTTTGTGTGACTCCATTCTTTCTTCCTTTTCCAAACTTAGGGTGAGTTCACAGAACTTTTTTTTTTATGATGTATTCACTTCTCCTCGGAACTGTCCAATCTTTCAATTTGTCCAATTTTCCAATGTAATAATCACCTTTCGATTTATTCTCATATCTGTCCGAGTTCGTTTTTTATTTCATAATCATAAAACTACTTCCAACCACCCAATGACCTCGTAAGAAGACTGCAAAGAAAATTGGAATCGACATGCAGAGATATAATAATTCCTCGAAACATTGTAGGTATCTTTGCTGACTCCGGCGTGGTCGGGTTCAAGTCATGAAAAGGGGGCGGGCCAGGGCGGGGAAATAAGGCTAGTGGCACAGTCATCTTCTTTGTAAGTATGATCTCTCTCTCTCTCTCTCTATTTATATATATCTAGCTCCCCCCTCTCTCTCTCTCCCTCTTTCTCTATATAGCTTCTTTTTAATATCTATCTATCTATCTATTTCGTCGTCATTATTTGTATATTAATCTATCTATCTATTTGTCTATGTGTAGGCCTATATATTTATGTCTTTATCTATTTAGTTAATTACTTACTTACTTATTTGATTTATAAGCAGCTTGATCAGGCTGAGACGCTCGTCACTTTAAAATCAAATAGCAATGTCATGTCACGTTGCATAACAGCTTGGCAAGAAAGTTATACATGACAAGTGGTAATGTATAAACCAACTTGTCATAAACGGAACGAATGATAGATCTGGAGTACTGCACATTACAATCTGCAATTTCAAATTCATACATGATTCATACTATCTTGAGAATATACAAGAGCACATCGTCGTACTGCATAGTTGTTTTCCTTGTCCTCTTTCTCTTTCTGTTTCTTTTACTCTTTCTCTCTTTTTTTCTCTCTCTCTCCCACTCTCTCTCTCTCTCTCTCTCTCTCTCTCATCCTGTCTCTTTCTCTTTTTGCCTCTTCCCCCTCTCTCTCTCTCTCTCTCTCTCTCTCTCACCCCTCCCCCTCTCCCCCCCCTCTCTCTCTCTCTCTCTCTCTCTCTCTCTCTTCCTCTATTATATTGTTATGTAATGGTAGTACACCCATGCCCCAATACAGATAAGACCCACCCTGTGATATACCAGACTCCACCTTCCAGAACATTTGTTTAATAACTAATTAATCCCAGCCAAATAAACCCCAAATTGTATACATCTGATAAGAACCCCCAAACTTCCAAAACAAAAGACTTCGTGTCTCCCTCCTAATAATTAAAGCACCCTTTGTTTGATAAGACCAAAGATAAGACCCGTTCCCAGAACAGAATACGTGTGTTAGCTAGATGATCGTGAGAATGAACTTGGGAATATATTGAGTGTGCAACCCTCATGAAAGAAGAGAGGAATTCAAACCATCACCAAGCTAACACCTATACTTTGGCAGCTCTACATCTTGTGAATATAATTATATTGAATCTGGACTATGTGACTCATCGTTTTTAGCGTTAATAATTTATACTCTTGTATATTACACTTCAAAGAAAGTCTCAGCACCTCTTTATTGATGTACCTCTCGATATTCCAATAACTACAAACACGCCGATCCCAAACACAACAATATATATACATAAATATATATATATATATATATATATATATATATATATATATATATATATATATATCCTTCCTCCTCATCTCTCTCATTATACCCCTCTCTCTCTCTCTCTCTCTGTCTGTCTCTGTCTGTCTCTCTTTCTCTCTCTCTCTCTCTCTCTCTCTCTCTCTCTCGCTCATTGGTCTCTGTTTTCAACCTCCTCTTTTCCATCTAGTCGAATTATAATGAGGAAGGGGGTACCAGGCGCGGATCCAGGATTTCTTAGGGGGGGGGGGCCCAAATTTGAAATTATGCGAGCCAAATATTGGTACGTTTTGGTGACTAACAGTGACGTAATGCGGGGGGGGGGGTCTGTGCAAGGGGGGAAGTTTCCCCCTCCCAGGCTTTGACGTTTCATTATATTATTAGAGAAAGAAGACGATTCGTTGTACCGTTCACGACCCTTTATCCTCGTCTGATTTCAGTTCCCCCCCCCCCCCCTCCTGCGCGAAGCGCGGAAGTTTTGACGTTTTATCAAACTATTAAAGAAAGAAGACGATTCGTTGTACCGTTCACGACCCTTTATCCTCGTCTGATTTCAGTTCCCCCCCCCCCCTCCCGCGCGAAGCACGGAAACTTTTACGTTTCATTAAATCATTAGAGAAAGAAAACGATTCGTTGTACAGTTCTCGACTCTTAATCCTTGTCTAAATTCAGTTCCTCCCGCTCCCCCTCCTGCGCGAAGCGCGGAAGCTTTGACGTTTTATTAAACTATTAAAGAAAGAAGACGATTCGTTGTACCGTTCACGACCCTTTATCCTCGTCTGATTTCAGTTCCCCCCCCCCCCCTCCTGCGCGAATCGCGGAAGCTTTTACGTTTCATTAAATCATTAGAGAAAGAAAACGATTCGTTGAACAGTTCTCGACTCTTAATCCTCGTCTGAATTCAGCCCCCCCCCTCCCGCGCAAAGCGCGGAAGCTTTTAATCTTCATTTAATCATTAGAGACGTAGACGATTCATTGTACCGTTCTCGAAAATAATCCTCGTCTGAATACAGGTTCCCCCTTTCCGACGTTTTATTATTAGAGAAAGAAAACGATGCGTTGTACCGTTCTCTATACTCTTATCCTTGTCTGAGATTTCAAAGATGTTCTTTGTCTGCTCCCTTTTCTTCCTACGTCCTCTTCCGATTGGGGGACCGCCCCCCCCCCCCCCCAGGCTACGCGCCTGCGGTCAGATAAACACATCTTGATACCTTGTCCGACCCCGCAAGCTCAGGGGTTTAAGGCAATAAATTACGGTCAGATAAGCTTTCAGGGGCCCGCCTTAGGGCCCCTGGTGGGGTCGAGGCGGCGGAGCCGGCCCCGGAAGCTCAGGGGTTTTAGGTGTTTAATTAAGGTCAGATGAGCATATTTTTGTGTATACCTTATTATTTTGTGACACTGGTAAGTCACTATTTGGCGTGGGGTCCAGGGGGCGGAGCCCCCAAAAACAGGGGTTTTCGGCATTTAATTACCGTCAGATGATCATCTAAGGGCCCGCCGTAGGACCCTAGATGGAATCCAGGGGGCAAAGCCCCCGGAAGCTTAGGGTTTTAGGCATTTAATCACGGTCAGATGAGCATATTTTGATGCCTCATTATTTTGTTAACACTAGAAGTTAACTATTCTTATTTTCTTGCTCTCATTCTATTTTATTTCTCTTTAATATACTTTTTCAAGAAAAGTGTGGGGGGGGGGGGCTCGAGGCTCTCGATCCCCGCCGTACCTCGGGCCCTGACATGTAGGAATCTCAAGAATCATATTTTTGCCTGGTTGTAAATTTAGGAATTTGTCATTTTCCAACAAACACATACAAACGTATAATTTACTAAAAAGTGAGGAAAAATTTCGGAAATTATGTCATTTCAGCATTATTTGTAATCCACCGTTGTGGAATTAGAAATAAACCACGTTTGAATTTGATTTCCCCCAAGCCCCCCCCCCCCCTATCAGTACGCCAGTATCTCCTCTTTTCCTTTTTCTTTCCCTTTCCTTCCTTCTCTCTTATTTTTTTTTTGATTGGGGGGGGGGGGGGGGGGGGGGGGGGGTTAACAGCCTTGGAGGCAAGGCCCTTTCGTCCCCCCCCCCCGATCTCCTTCTTCCCCCTTTTCTTTTCTTCTTCCTCTTCTTTCTTTCCCTTTTTCTCCTTTTCCCTTTCTCCCTTCTTTTCCTTTCTTCTCTCTCTTTTTTTTTTTTTTTTTTTGCGGGGGGGGGGGGCCAAGGCCCGCTCGGCCCCCCCCCCTGGATCCGCGCCTGGGGGGTACTGCCCTTGGTAGCTACGCCACTGCTACATCAAGATTACCACAAACAAGATTGATGTATACAAGTGCAGCTCCATAAAACCTCAGACGCCGTTATGACGCCCACAACATAAAATATAATGTTTCCAGACTGTTCCAAATATTAGATCAATCTTTGAAGGCAGTTTCGACACTTTTTGTGTCTTCTTTTTTTTTTGCTGTCAGTTTAAATGTAGTTTGCCGACACAAGCCCTTGTCAGTTGCTATGCTTAACAGTACCTCAATTATTGTGAGACTATGGTGACGACATACTGCATAGAAAGTGTCACATTAAAGTCTGTGCCTGCAGCCTATATTATGAATGAGTTTTACAGATATTATAGAAACACAGTATTCGCGTCGCCTGTTTATTTCTGAAATCCACTTTGTAAACTTGGGATGGTAAAGAAAAAGATAGAGAAGAAAGGCAAACAACTGTTGATTGAAGTTACGAAATCTGAATGAAATAGGACCGAAAAGTTATATTATATCCTAATCTTGTTTATATGGGTTCTGGTTCTATGCAGTCTTGTTATGATATGCATTTAATATAGTATATCCTTATACATCACTCGTATTCACTGCGGAAGTCACTCATGACACTCCGATTTCCAATGCCAGCTGTCATATTGTAAATAACGATATGACGTACAAACATGATTATGAATATGCTTGGAATACATACCGACATAAACAAAGTTTAGTGCTAGTTTGGGGGACTACACGATATTTGAAAAAAGAAAACTGAAGAAAAAAAACCTTGACTTTCCGCGAATGATCAGGCAGGTGGTATCGGGTGACGTCACTCATTTCAACCTTGACTTGCAGTTTCGGTGTTTCTGAGGAAAAACAAAGCAGCAGTGTTTTCTAAGAAAATTATAATTGCGAGAAAAAAAGGATATATTTTGATTGGTTTTGCTGTAGTTATCAAGAACTGGGTCTTTATCTTCTGCCACAATAGTATCCCACGGGGTTTATCAAGGACTATAGAGAATCACTGACCGCGGAACAGCAGAGGATGTTAACCCCAACGGATTTGTTATATAAATAAAACCATCCCCATCATTACCGCAATATCTTGATTGAGTTCTTACATCTGGTATGGGGCACCGACAATTATTTATTTAGACTATTTATTTATTATTTATTTTGTATCTATTTTAACTTTGTTATCAGTGAGTCAGTTTGGTGAGGTTCATGGTGAAGTATAGTTTGATACTTCCAGACTTAAAACCATCAACTTGAGACCAGAAAGACGAAATCAAAATTTGGAGCATCCCCATCCTTCTCGCAAGTTCTCCAAGCACCAAGTGATGTTCCAACTAACTCTCCTAAGTCATCCTACCATTCCAATACCAGTCTCACTCACGGCTGTTTGAAGGCAAGACCCACTCTGGGCGAAATAGCACATTCGCTGGTGATTGACGTTTAAACTGGGATCGTAGAACAAAAGGTTATGACATAAGAACGACTGGCGCAGACGGACATATCGTGACGAGTGGGAAAAAAAATATACCACTCTCTACAAAACATCACTGGTTTTGTTCGACGTAAAGGGATAGCGAGTATTTTCACTCATCGTTTTCTCATGGTAGTTCCCAATACGTCAAGGGCGTTGCGTAGAAAGGGGAAGGGAATATAATTTGTGTTTCATGGGCGTTGGGGCATTGATCGGTTACGTAAGCAGGACAGAACTGTCGGTGTGAGTGTGAGGACCGTTTGCGTTTCCGAGTCATCGCATATCTTCATCTTCATCATCGACTCATCGTCAATATTAACGACGAGTGGAGGAAATCGCGGCATTTTGCCGATTTAATTTCAAATATTTTACTCTGAAGGTGTAGGTCGGACGACCGCTAGTTGCGCCACCGGCATGCTGGGTCTTCGGGTGATGAGCGCTGTTTGGTTGTTTTTATTAGTTTGTTTATTCCACGTGGCCTGGACTCGACCACATGCAGACGAAGAGGAAGAGCTAGAGGTAAGAAAATGTAAACTAATCATGCGTTGTTGGTTTACGATCATGAAAGGTTATCAGTTGGAATTGAATGTTTTGTTTCGACGCGACTTTGTTCTTAGCTTGTCTGGCTATGTTAATTATTTATCCCCTCTATCTCTTCCCACGCTGGCACTGCCCACTAAATTGCTCACGAGAGAGTAGCCACCCACTTCAGACACATCCTCCATCTCCATCGCCCCACCCCAATCATATTATAATGCACATGATACATGTACCACCATTGAAGTATCATATAATTATTGTCAATATCATTTATTACACTTTTAGGCAACATATATTATAGAGATCGACATGAAAATGACACATGGCACTAAATGATGATGGTGGTGGTGATGATGATGAAGATGATGGTGGTGGTGATGATGATTAGTGATAATGATGATGGTGGTGATAATGATTAGTGATATGATGGTGGTGGGGATAATGATGATGATGATGCCTCCAGAGTTTACTAGACAGCACGATGTTCAAATGACGATGTAATAACATTATACTGAAATCCCCCACTCCGTTTCTCCTCTTGGCACGAAGCACTATCTTTTCGTATTCTCTTTATTCTTTTTATCTGTTTTCTTTTTGGGGTTGGGGATGAAAACTGGCAAACCCTTGTGATTTCCACTTATAAACCAAATCTCATAAGGTTCCTTATTAAATTGTTCTTGTAGACAGAGAAGACATCGCATTTTCGTTTTTCCTACTTTGAAATCACATGTTGCAGATCGCTCAGGGAGCCTGTTCTAATCATCTCGACCTTGGGCTGCAAACCCACGGAGTCAGCCTTTTTTTAGAGCAGGAATTAAAAGCACGTGTGCCGGATCGGTCCTTTATTGCAGTACTAATGATTGAATTAAATTCCAGGCGGAATACCCTAGAAATAACCGCCGATATACGTGATACCATAGTTCACGGATATGCTATATAGCCGCACATCCATGAAAGAACCCAAGGTTTTTCTTTAACATACTACATAACTATTAGAAGTTTCGATTTCAAATGTCACAACACATTCCATCCCAGTTTAGCTGGAAAAGCAGTGATTATCTCACCATGGTTCAATGTTGTGTATCTAGAGATCTACTCCTATACACTGCCCCCGCTCTTATCTAATTTTCATTTGACCAGGGGGGGGGGATAATGAAGTCTTTCCTATATTTCACTATTGTAAATGGTTCTTATAATTGAATTCGATTCTGGGTGCATAGACTATAGAGTAACTAAACAAAATTATACAGCGTTATAGTAGATTTCAATTTGAAAAGAATATTGTCAAAGATTTCTCCGTTCTCACCATTTTTAGACCTGTGAAAAGAATAAATCCTTTAATTATATATGTGTATTACTTTATTAAATAGTAGTATACATTTCAAATAATTGAATTCGATTCGGGTGGAATAACCCGACATTTTTTCGACAGCATAATATCAGTTCTCAATATAAAATGTTTATTGTAGTGTGAAGAACGCATTTTAATTATAGTAATTGTCATAATATAGTAAATTGGTAATAACTACATGTATATAGTTAGAAATAAAACTTAGAAATAATGATTAAACTCGATTCCGGTTGGAACATTAAGAAAAATAAACAATTTGCAGTTCAAAATGTATTTTAGTTCAAGGTAATACAAAGTTTTGGGAAATTTTGAAAATTGGATGGATAGTGAATCTTTACAATTTTGATATATTTGGATATCCATGTGGACGTATTATAAGCACTAAAAAATTAGCCCCTAAAACACTTCTGCTTTCGAGAAAAAATGAATATAAAAATTTACCGGTGCTCCCGGTAAATTTGGATAAATTTCAAATAGCGCCTATGGTCGTACAATTGTAGCTGCGACCATGAAAATCTCAGAATATGTAGTTGTGATATATAATTTCCAACGGAAATAGCTAATTTTAGTCAAGAAACATTGTTTCATATAGCTAAATTAATAGCTTGACCTTGAGAGTGAGCTATACAACTTAAAGAGTTTATTATTTATAATTTCATAACTTCAGACTCGATTTCAACCGCGACAACGATCAATGAATATTGTAGGAACGTATATGCTCCCAATATTTTAATTTGAACCGAATTCATGACCCCATACCAAAAAAACTTTGTAGTACCTTTAATAGAGATCTTGTTTCGTTTGTACCTTTTTTTTTATTTGACCGGGAAAAGAAATAATTTTTTATTATGGGTACCTTATTATAATATAGTTTTAAACTTCTAATGGCTGAAAGGGGAGAGTTCTGAGACCCGTTTCACAAGGCTTTTTCAATGACAAATGACAACAATCAGTGACAAATGTGCTGATAACCGATCAGAAGCAGGGATTTGAAGTGGCATGTAATACATAAATATATATATATATAGGACTACACAAACATGTGGGCTTGTGGTCCACTGTCCACAACCTCTAGCTGTTTACTTGTCATAAGCTTAATAAGAGCATTTCAAAGACTATTCCTTTCAGGGTGAAATTTTTCAATAGTAATCTTTCATACTAAAACATTAAAATGAAAAGTTCACACATTACCTTTCAACTTTCTGGTATGGGAATCGTATTTTGAGAAAAAAATTGCTATATATTATTTATTCTGGATTGTTTATCCTGCAGTATTAAGATTGGTTGTTTGAATCAGTGAAAAAACGAGATGAAATATATATATATTTGACATTCATCCTCGATAAATAAAAAAAAAATCTTTCTATGCTAATTACTCAGCCACTATACATTTTCTACCGACATTATATGGCACATGTCATTTATTTGTAATCTTGAACATTCAGTGTAAGTTTCGTTGGATTCTGTGAGAATATATTTTTTTAAATATTTATCAGAATTCAAGGTTAACTGTAATGTGAGTAGGATTGGGGTCCGAATATTCATATTCTCGTTTACCAACAACTTTCTGGAACAACCACCGAGGTACACCTAACCATGCACCATGGCCTATTAGACCAGTTATGGTCATGCGATTGCATTGTGAAAGAAACTTTGTTGAATCGATCAGAAAAGGTTGATCATCTAGCATAATTTTTGGTGTGTACTGCAAGGTTCTGGAATCATCAAAATGATAAGAAATTTGGCCCAGTCTTGGTAAAGTTACAAGCACTGTACATAGAAAGATGTATATGGGACTACCCCACACGTGCGCGATATCTATCCGGTCCAGATAGATACAACAATAATTTACCAAATATATCAATAGTAGGTTGTTTCTCGGCAAAATTTGTATCATCACGTATTAGTCAAAAATATTCTTTCACATGATTGATAATAAGAGCTTCTATTCTATTTTTTGAGGGGGGCGTTTCCAGAACTGGTCTTTACTTTTAACCAGGGATATGAGAGTTAAAACACCTCCCTGCTTTAACCATGTACCTACTTGGCTCTGCAGTGTTACGTAATCACTCTCTCTAAACACCTGTTTAGGAAGATTTTTGATATAGTCGTCGGGACTACGTGCTGGGTCATAGTCCATACTGTATTATTTTATTTCCCGATCTATCTGCGGCAAGCTGAATGAACCACGAATCGATGGTATGCCAAGCCTAAACAATTTTCGCCGGGCGTAGAAATTCGGGGATCATTTCATCTTTGTCTTAAAAAATTAAAATCGACCAGTGGAATCGCGCGTGATCGTCAGAACAGAGTCTGCACGAGTAGACTATTGAATTACGTGTGTTGCCTAAGGTTTTTGTTTACAACTTTTGAAAGAAACACTCCAGGTGTTTGTGCTGTTATAAGAGCAAGCTTGTGGTTAGTAAGTCGCCAGATTGTGTTTAGATAAAATTAGGTTAAAGGTAAAGACCAGTATTGGAAACGCCCCAATTTCAAAAAATGAAATGAAAGCTCTTATTACCAATCATGTGAAAGAATATGTTTTGAATAATACATGATGATAAAAAATTTGCCGGGAAACCGCCTACTAATATTGATATATTTGGTAAATTAGTTTATCTATTGGTGTGTGAAAGATAAAAACGTACGTGTCGCGCACGTGTGAGTAGTCCCATATACATCTTTCTGTGTACAGTGCTTGTAACTTTAAGAAGACTGGGCCAATTTTCTTATCATTTTGATGATTCCAGAACCTTGCAGTACATCTATGCTAGATGATCAACCTTTTCTGATCGATTTCACAACCATTCTTTCACAATGCAATCGCATGACCATACTGGTCTTTATCTTTAATTCACTTTGCTGGTCGAATCAAGGAGGATATCTCTTTGGTCGAATGGAGGAAAAAAAGAGAGGTCCGATTGAATGACGACAGCATGCGACGAGAAAGGCGAAAATGTGTTTTATATTGTATCTAATTTAATATAGGAGCCATTTTACATTCGAGAGAAAAGGCGACATTTCCTCATAGGAGGCTGTATATGAACGTACATTTATATTATGTATAAACAATGACCATGTATTTATTTATGTATTTAGGACACTAGAATGAGAGAAATAAAAGACTCCGTTAGCAGCACATTATAGGTGGAAGTGTTTTGGGTCTATTTTAAATATCCCTGCCGTCGCCGAAAGTTATCTTCTCTTATATCATCTACCTATATAAAGCAATGAGAAATAGTAAAGCAGTTAGCCTTCAAAGAGAAATGTTTATGTTCGATCACGTGAATCATTCTTAGCCAATCAAAATACAACAAAATGTACTATGACACGAGGGATCTAAGGCGCAGTGCATATTCAAGAATTCAGTATGTATTTTAGTCAATGTATAACCATGGACATGGTATAACAAATAGTTTACAATATTTGAAAACAAATCGTCTGCTTTGTCTATTTTCAGGGTGGCGAAGGAGGAAGACATAAGAGAAACTCGGACGTCAGTTATGGCTGGAAACACACGGAGTACCTCATAGCCAGCGTCAGACAACGACTAAATAACAATGATCTATACTGTAAGTATTCTTTAATTTCTTTTGGGAGCCCTTCTCACCCCCCCCCCCCCCCCCCCTCTCTCTCTCTCTCTCTCTTCGGCTTGTGTAGTCATTGCTACTATTTGGCTCTTATAGTTATCTGTATTACTTATAAAGGTTGGCAACGATGATTATGGTTAATTGATAATAGTAACAATGAAGATGATCATGATGATAAAATTAGTAATGATGATGGTATAGTGATTATAATAATATTAATAATAATAAGAAGAATGAAAATGATAAATAATAACAAGAATTATGATGATGATGATGTTTATAATTCATTTAGCATTTCTAAAGCGAGATATGTGCTTATAGAAAATGTTTAAGCCAATGTGCTACTTAAAAAAACTTTACAAAATAAGAAAATAACAATAAAAATATGATTTAATGTTGAGTTCATTAAACATCTAAAGAATAATCAACTGAAACATAATATAGTGTACATATGAGTTCCATTGAGATCTATTGGATGAGTTTTTTATGCCAAAATTCTTATAAAGCTTACAAATATATTTAGGGAGAACAAAAATGGAATGATTTATGTCCATTGATTTTCTTTTGCCGAGTCAATTCCATGGTTTCTGTTCTATGAGGATTTGATTTTAATCAGTATTTTTAATGCAATAATTAATGGATTCATTCAATATCAAAAGTTAGTTACTAAATAATCAGATTAAAAAATCACATAATGTAGAAACGGTTCCCCAATCTATTTTACACACAATTCGTCAGTATCGTGATAAGACATAGGGTTCGCACAATGTTACGTAAATTCAAAGTGGTCGTGAATTGTGTTTGATTATCGTAAAGTTGTAAAAATGGTCAAGGAAAAGAACAATAAGTGTGGAGACGGTTTCGAATACGCGGCAACATTTATTTATGGGACAGTCCTAGACCCCCTTCCCCTCTTCGATAGATTTAACACGGTGAAAGAAAGTTAGAAAGCAAAGGGATTTGGGGAAATCTGATACAGAAGTGATTAAATATCAAATATCCCTGTGATAAGACAGATTTGTGTTGAATTTCAAATGCTTTACAATACATTCACTTACTCATATCGTTACTCATATCGTTAAAGTGGTGAGCGTTTTCATTTCTTAAATAGGCATTATATAACGATATGATTGTCAAATTGCAATTATTTTCAATTACGTGAAATAGGACCCTATATATTATAAAGATTAAAATTATTCGCAACTGTGACTGTGTACTTACGAGATAGAAGTTGCAATTAATGTAAAGTTGCGATCGATTTGAATCAATCGCAACTCTTTATAAGACGGGGCCGGTGTCATAGGCGATTTGTTCCGTGCAGGCGATCGGTTCCTCCGGAACCGATCGCCTGGATATGTACCCGCCGATTTGTTCCGGATTCGTAGATTCGTTCCGCTAGTCACAGGCGATCGGTTCCGGCCAGGCGATTCATTCCGTGGAACCAATCGGCGGGATATTTAGCCGCCGATCCGTTCCGAATCTCATCGGAGAGCGTGCGTGCTCACGTATTATTGAATACACGACATGGTACACCCCTAAAGCAAAATGAACTATTCTGGTCGGCCTTTGCAACCAATCAAACTTCTCCAAATTAGCTACACCAACGATTGCCAATTTGAGAACTTTGTATAGAAATGCAGATTCCCGTTGTTCAAATATGTTGATAATTGCGGCCAATGATTGACCACAAACAGTAACTATAGACAGCGCCGTCGCGAAGCGACGGGGACTGGGTGGTCTAGCAAAAAGGGCAGTTGTTGCCATAGGCTTAGTTTGCCTGTTAAAGCAGATGTCGGGGTGTTTTCTAATCAGGCCTTCTAATTTGGTTTGAATGCTGCTTTATATGATATCGTGTTACGTCAACCACCTATTACCGGGCTTCATCACAGAATCTAATTATGCATGTGGGCTGCATGCATGATGTACATGTAGTTTAAATGAAAGAGATGCGGGGTGGGGTGGGGTGGGGACCGGGGTGCGCATATTTTTTTTACACAACTGTTTAGCCATTTTCGCGAAAAAAATCCAAGAAGTGCTCTGGTGAAAGATTCTAGGTCGTCAGCGCACTATTATGTTCAAGCACGTACACCAAGGGAAGGGAAGATGATAGAAAGGGGAAAACAAGGATAGTGGAGAGGATATGGAGAAGGAAAAACAAGGAAATACATAAGGAGAGAGAAGAGGATAAGTCAAAGGAAGAACATAGAAATACATAATTAAAGAGCTAGGAGGATCATAGATCTAGACTATAAAGGAAAAACAGGGAAATACATAAAGAAGGAGAAAGGGAATCTATCAGATTAAAACAAAGAAAAAGATGACGAAGGAGAAAAGGATAGATTGGAGGAGAAACAAAGAAATACATAAAACAAAAGAGAAGAGGTTAGAATAAAGGGAGAAATACATAACGAGGGAGAACTTGTATGGCCGATAGATTGAAGAGAAAAATAGAAATACATGACAAAAGAGAAGAGGATAGATTGAAGGAGAACACAGAAATACATAATGAAAGAGAAGAGAGGATAGATTTAACCCGAAAAAAATAACGAGTATGTATGCCATGTACAGCTAGCTCCAGCAATCCAACAAAACTGCTAAGGGTAAAGCTAGACTCTGTCTCTAGTCGTTTGCACAGTATATTTGACTGAAGTGGCTAAACAGTTGTGTAAAAAAAAATATGCGCGGCCGGGGTCAACACAAAAAGAAATGAGTGGTCGAGCTGATAATTAAGAAGGACCAATTAAAAAAAAGAAGAAGAAAAGAAGAGAAAGAAAATTCCTCAAGTAAAAGACGTGTCCGGCAGAATAAAAAAAATTAAAAATAAAAGAAAAACCCGACATATTTTGTTGAATTTTCAACCCTTGGTACTAGCCATATCATAGTGTGTCTATACCCCCCCCCCCCATTCCGCTACATACAGTGGCAGATCTGTTGCGCCCCCTTGTTTGGAAACCACTAATTTCACGTACATTTTCACGTACATGTAGGCCTAATATCAGAAAACTGTCGCCTGCCCCCCCCCCCCCCGTTTTTCTGACAATGAATGCTGAAGGTCGATGCTGTCGAAATTCACGTTGACGTTATCGAGTTCGCGCCCAGATCAGCATGCCGTGTCGCAATATATCGTGCCGAGCATGCACGTGCGTGCATGCATATGATATACATGTACTCTATGCGCATACTAGTCAGTAGGTTATTTATTTATTTATTTTTCGTACCGCGCGCGGGTAATTCCGTACGAGGTTATAAACCTTATTATTAAGTAATATTTCAAAACAAATATTATTGGTTTTCATTGCAACAATAAATACAAAAGTATCAAGATAAAGCTAAAATCCATGTTTATTCGACACAAGTAATAAAAATATACGCGATTATATAAGCAGAAACGTTCGGCCAATGTCGGATAAGAACGGCGGCTTTCGAACGTATCTGCGAACGAGTCGATCCAGTAGATTCGTTCCGCGGAACAAATCGCCTACCACACCTGCCCAGAACTCTATTCTACCGTTGTGTTAAAGATGAAAGACTATACTCTCTCACTTTGCGTAACAGCTGCACTGCTAAAACCAAGGTAATTATGCTGCATTATTGTAGAGCGCTTAGAGACTTCTGAATCTGATAAAGTAAGTGTTAGGCGCTATATAAGCAAATATAATTAATTTGTATTATCTTACAAGTTTATTGTCACATTATTTTCATTTATTTGATTCCAGTTTGTAATAACGATCCATTCCTTGGAGTTCGTTGTCCAGAGGAACAGCATTGCGTTGATTGGCATGAAATATGTGATGGCCATCAGGTATGTAATGTACGTTACGATAATACTCAGGGGGCAGTTGACCCCCCCCCCCCCCAAGAAGTTTCGATTTCCCGAAAGTTCATAAACATAAAGGCTCATAATTCCGAAACATAAATGCCCTATTGGCATTGTGGGGGAGGGGGGATACATTCGTACTCTTCTTGCATTACTTTGAATGTGCCTTTTAAAAAAATCTTTTATTCGAGGGTTCAATATTCTGAAAGTTTCTTGCAGTACTACGAATTTTCATTATTCCAAAGATTCGTTTATCAGACGGTTCATAGACCCGAAAATAACAAAGAGCTCATTATTCCGAAGCTTCGTGAATCCAAATAAGGCTCATTATTCCTTAGATTCGTAATTCCAAAAAATCTTATAGGGTTCTGTTCCATATTTGGAATAATGAACCTTGGGAAAAACTAACATTATTTGATTTTAGGAGTCCTTGATCTTCCAAATAACGAACCTTCGGAATAACAACCTTCGGTGTAAGTGCAACGAACTTCCGGAATAGACATGCATTCTTTTTAAGTGGACAAAACTTTCTCTTAAAGACTCAAAGCTTGCCAGAGGCCTGTCCGAAATGGCAACAACTAATGTATGCAAAGTAAATACCATCCATAGAGATGCATTTTGCATAGCTGACTTTATTAACCAAGCTGCCCTATGCCAAGGCGTTGAAAGCATTTTAGAGAATAACTTACTTACTTCCAGTTAGTAGGGAGTAACACCTTGGTAGAGAGTAGCAAATATGGTTTCATGCCTTGCAATACTCATAGCTATTTGCGCCCTCTAGACCGTATAGTAAACAATGCCTAACCTTGCAGGGGGGTCTAATCCCCCCTGGCCAAACTTGTACAGACAGGCTTTAATGATAATTGTTATATCAATGATGATACGATCAAATTAGCGTATTTGTGATTTCCGGCAGGAATTAACTCATGGGCTTAAGGCAATCCAGGGGAACACGATGCTAAAGACTTTCAGCAAATTTATTTTGGAACATTTTCAATACCCTGTGGTATTACCTCGGGGAATCAAGATCTGATTACGTAATATGTTATTTTTAAATCCGATTACGTCATAGGTTAATTTAAGATCTGATTACGTGATATGTTAATCTAAGATCTGATTACGTAATATGTTATTTTAAAATCTGATTACGTCATATGTTAATTTAATATCTTATTACGTCATATGCAAATTTAAGATCTGATAACGTCATTAAGTTTGCACATGCCCAAAGTTGATGGACAGTGGACAAAACTATTAAAAATTCCTTTTGGTTGAGTTTTCGAAAGTTTTTTGCGATCATATTAGGGTGGTTTTAGAGGATAACAGCAATTTAGCATTTTGGAAGTATGCGATGATATATTGATTAAATCATTAGTATAATGATTACCCTTGTTGGCAGCATAGAACCTATTTCGGGAAAACGAGTGATTTCAACTTTTTTTTCCTATTTTTCCAGTCCCCCACAGGTTTTATTATCCCCAATAGTGTCTACTGTGGTGGGAATCGTAAACTTAATACATGTATCATTGTATCATATCATTAAATGATATATTCAGGAGCTTCAACCCATCCAACCCCACCTCCTCCCACACATACAGACACACCAGCACAGACAAACGAAAATTGAATACGTAATATTGTGAAGCAACGAATGACCGCAATAAAGTCCAAGTCCCCATCTCAATTATTCTTTGAGAACCACACATATAGATATATATATATATATGTGTGTATATATATATATATATATATATATATATATATATATATATATATATATGTATTTCTGGTCTTAGTATAGTACTTCATTCACTTGACTATCAATTTAAAGATAAACTCCAGTTCTGGTAAAAAAAGGAAATTAATTCTCACAGAATCAAACGAAACTTACACTGAATGTTCAAGATTACAAATAAATGACATATGCCAAACAATTTTGGAGGAAAATGTATACTGGCTATGATGTATGATGAGCATAGAAAGACAAGGAAATCAAGGTAGTACTAGCCCCGACACCATGTGTGTTGTCCCATATATAGCTTTCTGTGTACAGGGCTTGTTAATTTACCAAGACTCGGTCAAATTTATTACAATTGTGATGACTCCAGAACCTTGCAGTGCACACCAATACTTACATGCTACATGATCAACTGTTTCTGATCCTTTCCACACCTTTTCTTTCACAATGCAATCGCATTACCAGTACTAAAGTTTATCTTTAAGATATGAGGGTTGAAATCCCAGCTCGACAAAATGTTATTTTTTCCAAAAAAATAATACACATTTGCCACTCTCCACCCATGGTTAGTGCAGGGCTCTGGGGAGGTCAGCATTGATGCTGATTTAATATTCCTGTGTGAACACAATTATTATTATTATTGTTATTATTAGTAGTAGTAATATAATTATCCTTATTATTATCATTACGTCCGCAGACTTGTGGGCTAGAGGTTCGAGAGGCCTGTATAAACAGTACTATCGACTCGTATGGAAGGACGGACGATCGGTTCTGTGTCGGCGATGAAGATGCCAAATGGTGCGATTGGAAAAAAATGGCGCCTCATCGTGAGTTTTTGTCTCGAAGAATCAAATCGAAATTTTAAATGTGCTTTTCTTTCTGCTTCTTCTTTTATCGTCTTCTTCCTCCACCTTGATCTTCTTAAAGGTAATACAAAGTTTTGGTATGGGGTCATGAATTTGGTTGAAATGAACATATTGGAAGCATATACGATCCTATAATATTCAGTGATCGTTGTCGCGGTCGAAATCGACTCTAAAGTTATGAAATTGTAAATAATAAACACTTCATGTTGAATAGCTCCCTCTCAAGGTCAAGATATTAATTAAGCTATAAAACATGTCTATTGACTAAAATCGACTGATTAGCTATTCTCGTTCCGAAATTATATACCACAACTACATACTCTGTGATTTGCATGGTCGCAGCTACCATTGCACGGCCGTAGGACCTATTTGAAATTTATCAAAATTTACCGGGAGCACCGGTAAATCTTTATATTCAATTTTTCACGAAAGCAGAAATGTTTTAGGGGCTTAAATTTCTGGTGTTTTAATACATCCACAGGGGCATCCAAATATATCAAAATTGTAAAGAATCACTATCCACCCATTTTTCAATATTTCCCAAAACTTTGTAATACCTTTAAGTTTTTCTTTAGACCAGTCTCACTTGAGGCGTCAACCGCAGTTCGTCAGGCCAGGGCATTAAGGCCGACGGGCAGTGGGACAGGGCGACACCAAAGGGCGCCAACGTAGGAATTTGGTGATATTTCTAATTTGTTTCATGTCCTATCACCCTTATTATACTGCTTACTGGTAATTCTCCTTCTGAATGTATTTTGAGAGTTTTACGTATTTCTTTAAACCTGAAAACCAGAAGCCTTCTTGTATTAAACCAACATTAACAGGGTTGACTTCCCTTTAAAAGGCACGGTATTATACTGACATTTCGTCAGATTTACGTACACTTCTGTCTGCTGTTCACAATGTCCCGATGTCCCACAATACATCACTATCTGCATGAAGCACGTCTGTGATGATGCTTGGGTACAGGAACCGGAAATCGCTTTATGTATGCCATCAGAGAAAAATGGCACAATTGAAAATACATTACAGAAGTCGAAGCGATTAAGTGTGGTAAAATAAATACCCTGGCTTTAAAGGCCAGAGTTTGATTTCTTGTAATGCTATATCAATCTTCTCTCCTTTTCCTAGGTTGCGGAGAGGATTTTGTCTTTGACTTGTCGAAGAAACGCAAGCAGTACCGGATCCGTCACCCGGGGTTTCCCAGCGCGTACCTGACCGACCGGTACTGTTTTTGGACAGTCAGTACCGTCCCGGGGCATTTCCTCTACGTCGAGTTCAAGAAATTCAGGACCGAGACAAACTACGACTACTTGTCCCTCGGCCAAGGTCTTCTCCGGGATAGTGATCGCAACACGCTCATCTTCAAGCACAGTGGCGTTGACAAGCCTACACTTTTCAAGACGAACCTCAGACTCCCCAATGCGCACCAGCTTTGGGTTACCTTCAGATCGGACGATTGGGATACAGATGAAGGTTTCATCATCGAAGTCAGCGACAGTTCTAGGGAAATAAACGGTAAATGTCCTCTCTTTTTTCATTTCTCTCAAGACAAGTATTTTAATGGGATATCGGCAAACTTGTAATAATAATATAATAATAATAATAATAATAGCCTAATAGTCCACTCCAAATTGTATTAAACCGAAACGGAAATTCGGATGATCGTGAGCCCGGCAGCCACTGAGCAGCGCCAGATCGACGTTGCTCTATCCCTTATTGTTGAACGCCAAACAAGGTAGCAACAACTCCCATCTTTTAACGTCTTTTGAAGAACGACGTCCATATTCTTAGATCCCAAAGACTTTTGAAAAATCAACCCTATGACGATAACCTTGTCCATCACCTACTCAAATATGTGAACATGATTTCTAGGGGATATACGTCAGTGGATCGAAATTCTGTAATGGTTTTGCATTGGTAATTAAGTTTAAATACACATACATGTACGGAAGCAGCAAACTACGAAAGAGGCTTCCCTTCTAAGCGGGCACGTAGCCACGGGGGGGGGGGGGGGGGCACATGCCCCCCCCCCCCCAAATTCAAGATCGGTTGAAATTGTTTAGACCCCTTTTTTATTTTTACCTCGATCGATTACATGTATGCGCCCCCCTCCCCCCCCCCCCCCCCCCAAAAAAAAAACCCCAAAAAACACATCAAACTCTGGCTATGTGCCTGCTTCTAAGACATCCTGAGTTGAAACAAAATTGAGATGTCGACAAATGTAAAATATATATCGCACCTGAATCTATAATTAAACATGGAAACTATTTTTATGCGATGATATGCATCGCGAATTAGAGGCACGTTCTGATATGAAGCAAAATATTGCAGTGTGAACAACTAGAAAGGTTCAAAAGCTCACAAAGTAAATTTTATTTTTCCTAGAGTGCAACCTCCTCTTTAAAGATACTTCCCTTATGCAGCCAACATCAAATTATGTAGAATTGTGCAGGAATTATGAATATGTCATGTATGTCCTATCTGTGAAATTTAAACGTTAGCATTGTCCTAATATTCAAATTATGCAAGGAAACCCGTTTACTTGCTAGACTTCACTGTCAGACACTATTGAGTGACTGGCTGGCTTTTTTCTTCTTTAGTAGTATAACTTGAAAGTTGAAACATACATAAAATGAGCTGAAAAGGGTTTATGAGCATTTGTCTACATCAATAACCCACTTCTTGTAATGGCCAAAATTAAACTGATTGAATCTTTGCGCAGCACAAACGTACGACCATCCGGTACAATGGTCTGAAAATCAGACTATTTCTTACTGTATTGGTATCACTTAATAATAATAATAATAATATTGGATTCTTATATAGCACACGTATCGACCTTAAGTCGATTCGACAACTAATAGTCGTTATTTTCCCACTTAAAGACATTTTCAAGCCCCCCCCCCCCCCCACTTTTTTTTTTAAAGGGAAGTTCTAGTTCAGTATTATCTTTCAAATGCCGTTGGAATTTAAACTTTTTCATTTTGTGGCCTGCAAATGGGACATAGTACCTTAAACTTATACAGAGTAGCCTATTATTCTTGATTTCAATCCTCCAAGTAAAGAAATGTGTATGCTATGTTATACCTCAAAATAAAAATGATACAGTTATTAAAGAGCATGAGCAAGCCTCTCTATCGTGGTCAACGCAAAAGCTCACTCAGCGAACTCGCACCTTTTTGTTGCTTCGTGGGAGCATTTCCTTTCAACAGAAAGCGTCGTTGCTCTTGTTTTCTAGCTTGATGAGCTTTTGCAAAATGTATGAATACGGGCTTTTCGATTTCTTTGTATATTCGTGACATACGATTGAATGTTTCTTTATATTTTGTTTCGTGTTTGTTTTCTTCTCCAGTTCCTGCGGCAGATATTATGATCGGCTCGAACCCATTTCAAACGCGACCAAAAAATGGTGAGTCTTTACCTTCCCTCATTATTCCGATTACATAACTTCGTATATTGATTAACACCGATGGTTCTATGATAGAAAACAAACCAAACAGTGCACAGTCAATATGTTGTCATCAAATTTCTTGTACTTTGGGCACTAATCTTTTCGCTCGTACCTTGTTAAACTTTACCTTTGTGTCTGCGAGATGTTAATATCATTATGATAATAATTCCTTCATGGTACGTACACACCCCATAGTTTTGCCCTAAGGTGAATTTGATAATTTCTTCTCTGGGAGAAGGTTCTTGCCGGGCGCATAGTTGTCAAGTTTGTTTTGGTGGCATCACAAATTCTTCAAAGGCAGTGCCATTGATTAGGAGAGTTTGGTTTATCCGTTCAAGTAGGCCATAATATGGCGAATACTGCTTGGTTGGGCAAGCACAAAGCAAAAGAATATACGCCATGTTGTGACCAAGTGAAACCAAGTTAGCCAAACTCTGTGCCAAGGCAATACAAAGATGTTTTGTAACTCCCTCTTTTTAAGATCTCCTAGGTAAAAGATCGTAGGTATTTGAGGTCGTTATGTACCACATTCTAACTACGAAATGATCAAAATTGAAAAGCACTGGACACTGAGCAGGTACAGGCAAATATGATATGTGGCATATTGACTATTGGATTTCTCTATTTCCATTAGCATTGATATGGCAGGATCTATCCGGTTCCAGTGGGCCATGGTGTGTGTGTGTGTGTAATTGGGTTTTTACAGACGTGTATCAATCAGATATGATTCTTTACGTCTGGGACCGACCTTTAACGTCACCATCCGCAAGACGTGACTCAGTTTCGAACCTGTGTCCTCGGCTGAATCAGTTTGTAACTTCCACTGTTAGCTGGATTACAGGCGCACGCCACAACGCCTAGTTGTGGGTTAATGATTCTTGATTTTATAATTTGTTTTCATAGAAACAAGCCGAGTAGTTATTCCTGTCGGTGGCAAAACCATTGTGAAATCACCAAACTATCCCAAATTCTACCGTAATCACGTCACCACCAATTGGATTATATCGGCAAGGAGAGGACGCCGCATAGAAGTATGGTAAGTGTTGGCTAACTTTGTCCCGTTGGGTCATCGCGTCGGTTGTTCGGTTACACGAACGTTTTGTGAAAACTCAACCCAATTTTCACGAAAGTTGGGTAATTCACGTTACAAGTTAGGGTTACAATTTATAAGGGTAATTGCAAAATTTGTCATGCCCCAAAGGTGTACATAACTAATAACGTTCGGTTCTTGGTTTGTGCTTACATCAGTAAACCCACATTGGCCCTCAGTCTCAACCCAAGTGTAGTGGGTGGCTTGCAAGTTGCAATGCTAATGGTGCTAGCGTAAAATTGCAGGGCCTGTAAGAATTAAAATTTAAAGAACGAGTATTTGGTATAGCGCCTTTTCCTAGTAGTCGCGCTTCACATGACCTCATTAACATGTGGTGTAAAGGATCAGTTGAATATTGATGATAACGCTTAAAAAAACACAAGTTTTCCAAAAAAAATAGTCATTGTGTTTAGAGAAGTATTATTACTGATACAGGTACCAATCATGCGTAGAATAAACCTGGCTGATATCAGTATTATAATTATCATTATTGTATTATGAAAAAGTTAACAAATTATTGTCATATTAACCAGAACTCAAACCTTCCCCTAAAATGACAGGTTTGACAACTTTGACGTGGAGGACGACGAAGATTTCGTTAGCATGGGCAATGGACCCCTATTACGTGTATATCCGATATTTTACCGGAAAACGGGTAAAATTACCAACACCAATAGCCTACGTTTCGTTTCGACCGCCTCCGATGTATGGCTTTCATTCGAGACCAGTCTCGCCATTGCCCGTAAGGGTTTCCGGGCCTACTTCAGGGAGATACCTATCACGGGTAAGTAGCGCCCTGTCTCCGTCCCCCACCATTTATCCGCTTCATATCACATTGACTGACCTTTAAGCCCCACTGTCATACTTGTAGCTACTTGCTCCCTCTATATAGAAAACTTCCCCAATCGGTGCCTGTTGGTCCCCATGATCCTCTTTTTCTTATGTTAATGAGATAGCCACATGTTTATGACCTCGCTGTGTGGTCTTATCCCTTCTGGCTGACCTTTAACGTCATTATCCTAAAGACGTGGCACCGACTCCTACCAGAATCCGTTGAGTCAGTTTGAAGGCGAAGATAGAGACCTCACCTTGTCAAGATCGTTACCGCTAGACCAACTCACATCTCACATCTTCTAAACATTATGATGTTTAAAAGAAATCTTTCGACACACTCCTACATGAAGTCAAGCACTTCTTCAGTTTCTCCACATTTCTGTAGCTTCAAGCCATAGCTTAGTCGGTTTTCATGTGTATTGCATGAAATTCGCTGACACCATTGATTGAGTATACCAATAGACCAGTTCACGGTTAGCACATTACTGCAATGACCCCGAATATCCACAGATCTTCAAAACATGAAGAGGTCCCACTTGGTACATTGTGAAATACAGCGATGGAGGTGCTACATGAATTGCCTTTGTTTCCCCTTTTTAAAGTATATTTCCACCTGTGTATCATGGAGTGCACTGAATGTGCATGAATGAATAATGATTACATAACTTTCATGACCACGTATCCAGTATTTCGTCTCCGTGTATTTCAAAATTTGTTCTGCAATGACCTTTATCTGCTCATGCTCAGACTGCAACCGTGAACTGGCTTATTAATGTGTCTGACCCAACAGAAAATTACTCTAGCTTGCCTCCATATCTTGGGAATGAAGGGAAATGTATTATTATGAGAAATTCTACAAGATGATATAGGTTAAGGGAACAGTGCAATACATAACTCCTGTCGGGTTGGTCGTAAAATGGAAATCCACTCTTGGTGATTGACAACTCCTGTTTTGGGGTTGTCATCCGAATGGTTTAAAATTCCTCTTGAGAATCCACTACTACGAGCCTTTAATTATTTTGTCTATCCATTAATTTACTCAAGGTCCAGCTTTCGCAACCATACGCAAGGGCAGACCAAACAGACTGAATGACATTAATGCTTCTAAGAGTTGAAATTGAATATTTTTAAAGTAAACAAACGTCCTTTGTTTCTTAGGTCAAAATTGAGTCTCACTCTCCAAGTTCTCTCACTTTTCCTAGACTGCGGGGGAACACTCTTAGTGCCGGACAACGGGTCGATCGCGGTGGCGAACAAGAACTACCCGGAACGCTACTACCCAAGCAACCTGGACTGCACGTGGTCCATCAAGAACGAAGAAGGTCGTCGCATGTGGATCAGCTTTCATGACTTCTCAACCGAGTGGCGCAAAGATTTCCTCAGCATGGGTAACGGCGCACCGCAGGATCGCAACCGTACCTCTGCTATTATTACCATGCACAGCGGAACTCACATGCCGGATCCCTACGAATTCACAAGTTCAGGAGATGAGGTTATTATCGCTCTCGTTGAGGTTATTGTTTTTTACACGTCCGTTTGTCCCTGTGTATGCTTGTCTGTTTTGTTCTTGTTTTGTTTTGTTTCGGGGAAGGAGTCGTCTGTAACCATGACTTTGTTTGCCCATGTTAGCAGTGCTAATATTAGACGTTGGTCCTGTAATATACTTTGTTATTGTTATTTATTTCAGTTTTTAATGTCTACTGCAATTACTCCCACCTCCACGACGACGACTGCTGTTTCGCTGAATTTACATAGGATTATCTTGTACTATATGGTGTCTGTTTTGTTGTTTGTTTAATAATCAGTATTCACTCCATTTTTTTACCAATTAAAGATAAACTTGAGTTCTGGTAAAAAAGGAAAATGAATTATCACAGAATCTAACGAAACTTACACTGAATGTTCAAGATGACAAATAAATGTCATGTACCAAACAATTTTGGAAGAAAATGTATACTGGCTGAGTAATGAGCATAGAAAGATAAGGAAATCGGGGTAGTACTAGCCCCGACACCATGTGTGTTGTCCCATATACATCTTTCTGTGTAAGTGATTGTTACTTTACCAAGACTTTGCCAAATTTATGATGATTTTGATGACTACAGAACCTTGCATTACACACCATTACTTACATGCTATATGATCAACTTTTCTTATCCATTCCACACCTTTTCTTTCACAATGCAATCGCATTACCAGAACTCAAGTTTATCTTTAACCTGAACTAACACAAGGTAATCCTTCCCGGGATCAGATAGTAGTGCTAATATTTCATGTTCGTTTATATGTTCTTGTGTTTGTTTTAATTTGTTTATTTGTCATAATCGATATACATTACGTTTTATTTACCCGTTGACCTGAGTGGCTTCAAGGGAACCTTACCCACGGTCAGATAGCAGTGCTTATATTTGACATTTATTTGTTAGTTGGTTTGTTTATTATCATTTGTTTATCTGTCATAATTTATATTCTATTCATTTTTTTTACGTAAAGGTGTGGATGACTTTTACGTCGAGTCGTTACAACAATCATGGTGGATTCGTGGTGGATATCTTTGATGAAATGCTACACCCGTAAGTACATGTACTTTCATCCAGATAAACAATAGCGAGGGCGTAAGTGAAAACTATCTGAACATGGTGTACCTTTGGAATGGTCCGACATCCGCGGCAATAGCGGAGGGGTCTGACTGTTTCGAAGGTGGATAGCTTTACCTAATGCCCGAAACTTTGATGTGATTTTTAAATGTTATAAAATCAAACGGTGACGTGGATCCTTATCATTTGACAAACCCTACTCTCATCCAAAATTAGAGTTGACTAATAAGTTAGATGATTGGGTTGCTGCGAGTGAAAACAAAAACATGAGAGAAACGGAGTGGTAAAATTCTGACAGAAAAATGGACACAAGGTTATGAGTGTTTAAAAGATGAGATCACTAAATCTATGGTAATCACAAACGTGGCCATTAGGTCAGTTGAACGTGAGGTATTTATAGACCTTTCACCTGTTTATTTTACACAAAAAAATGTCATTACTTTCTTGTTTTCTCCTAAGCACTTTTTATCTCTGGGTAGCCCTCAAAATATAATATGGATAGCATACTGTTACAGGTCCTCAAGTTAGAAACATACCTACTAAGTACACCATGTAACTTATGTTTTGACTATTGAAATTAATACACCTAAATAAATGCAATACTTCATGTCTTGGGTCAAGTTGTTGTAACGTCCAAAACACTGAAGGCATAATAAATTGGTCTGTTTTTGTCGCATAAGCATCATCATCGTTCATTAAAGGCAGCATTTTCCCTCTTACGAGGAGTTACTGACTTTCGCGGCATGATGACATTCACTCACTCCACTTCTCCTTTTCTCAAGCGTCCTCCTCATTTAGACTATAGCCTTATAGCTTTCTTTCTTCACCATATTCTTTCCCTGAAATCTTCGGTCTTCCTTTCCCACTTCCCTTTACCACTTCCACCACAGTTTCTTCCAGACCCAATCTTTTAATGAGCATTCTTGTGTTCTTTCTATCGGACAGTTTCACACCACACATCTTCCGTGACGCGGCTCTTTATGTTCTTCTTCTGTCTTCACATTCCAATTTTCTGAACCACTCCTGCCAAATATCGTTTAAGCTAATTTTTGGTGTGCATTGTTTCCATACAGACCACCGGTCACAACTGCCCCTCCAACTACCCAACCACCCCCTACCACAGAGCCACCACCGACCATTCGTGGAGAGGTACGACCTACTAGACGTCCAAAGCCTACCCGCCGTCCTAAACCACGTCCTGCCCCCGTGATTTTGCCAGGCTTCGAGCCCGCGCCGACTAACGACGACTACGTGCCGTTCACCTGGCCACCAACGACAACCACTAGAAGGCCTACGACTACGCGACGAACTACCAGACGTACCACCCGACGTACCACCACGACAAGGAGACCAACGACTACACGACGGACAACGACTACCCGACGACCCACGACCACTACCCGTCGCCCAACTACCACAAGGCGAACAACGACAACCCGTCGCACCACCACAACCAAACGCCCCACTACCACAACCAGAGCACCCACCACCACCAAAACAACAACCACAAGCAGACCAGCTATTATCAACCCGTGGGAGATCCCTAGCGACTCCTCCTCGTCCTCGTCAGTCTCCTTCTTCTCCAGCATCGACTCTACCCAAAGCCAGTTTTAGTGAGCGGTTTGAGACGGTTTGGACCAGTTCCGGCTGCCGTAAAGTGCTTCAAGCATACTCTCAATGTCTTATAATCAATTTTCAGTCAATTATTAAAAGTGACTTCTGTTTCTTTTATAATATTTTCTTCTTTTCACATACATGTAGTTACATTTTAATCTAGACAAAAACCCATGACATACGTTTTATAGAACAGTTAATGTATTAGCCATTTACGACACTCTGGCAAGTCATCGTTTGATAGTAAATCGAGACACAACCAACTAACGATCGTTTTTAGTTCTAACTTACTTTTTATATGTTCTTTCTGTAAATAGTGTTTCGTGCATCACGAATTTTATATTAATGTTTTAGCTTAGATTTCGTTATAATCCATTGTGACCTCCCATATTATGCAGAACTTCATATTCACCATTTATTTTGAATTGCATCAAAAGGATTCTAGAATGCTTTGCATTGGTAAATATCATGTGTAAATGTTTATTTGCCTCATGCAAAAGAAAAATAAACATTTTACCCACTCGAAAATTGTCATTAATAATCATTTGCAACTAAATAGGAACAAATTACTGTATTGTAGTAATTTTGCTTGTTTCATTTACACCAAATTTCTTTTCCTCAACTGATAATGTAACATAACAAATATCATGCCTAATTCGGACATTGTATCATGGTATTTGGTCAGTGACATGAACATTGATGGGTCGAGATTAATAAACCTACTATTAGGGGAAACAAAATCATTTCATGAAGAATACAATAAGTATACATTCGTTAATTGATGGATGCAACCAGTTGTATATTATTCAAACAGCAGTAATATAAATCACAACAGTAATTGCGAGTCTTCTGATACGTGTATATTTTACCTAGTTTTGTATAATACATCATCAAGTAGCTATTCGATATGTTGTATTAGTTGCATTCATGAAAAGTATTGCCAAATAACAGCTTTCATCTTTGTTCTTATTCTTTTATTCTGTTCATGTTTTGGTAAATAAAAGCCACTCGACTGACTATACAAAGACGCGAGTTCCATGTTGTTACTTTCAATTTTCATCTCGTCAGTACCCGCCCGCCCCCCCCCCCCCCCGGCATCCCCATCGGCTAAACAAAGGATTATATCTGAGTAAAAACGACAAGTTGTTTGTTAGTTTGTTTGTTTTTGCTGTTGTCCAATGAAGATATTATCCTTCATGATTCCATTTCACGAGGACAGCAGTCCCCCCCCCCCCCCCCACCTCCTAAAAAAGAAATACAGGTACATGTATTTTTTTATAGCGCTTTCGAATCCCTCGTAATAATTATATTGAAAATGATTATGCTCCTTGAGCTTACATTGCGAAATTTTTAGAATGAAGGGGGGAGATTTTGAGAAGAAGATGATGGTATTCATGATGAAGACATTGAGAACTACGTTGATGATTATAAAAGTGGTGACGTAGATGATACAAGTGATGATGATGATGATGATGATGAATGATACTGATGAGTATGATGCCGATGATGATGATGAATGATACTGATGAGTATGATGATGATGATGATGATGAATGATACTGATGAGTATGATGCCGATGGTGATGATGAATGATACAGATGAGTATGATGCCGATGATGATGATGAATGATACTGATGAGTATGATGCTGATGGTGATGATGAATGATACAGATGATGATGAATGATACTGATGAGTATGATGCCGATGATGATGATGAATGATACTGATGAGTATGATGATGATGGTGATGATGAATGATACTGATCAGTATGATGCCGATGATGATGATGAATGATACTGATGAGTATGATGATGATGATGATGATGAATGATACTGATGAGTATGATGCCGATGGTGATGATGAATGATACTGATGAGTATGATGCCGATGGTGATGATGAATTGTAATCTGATGAGTATGATGCCGATGATGATGATGAATGATACTGATGAGTATGATGCCGATGGTGATGATGAATTGTAATCTGATGAGTATGATGCCGATGATGATGATGAATGATACTGATGAGTATGATGCCGATGGTGATGATGAATTGTAATCTGATGAGTATGATGCCGATGAGTATGATGATGATGATGATGATGAATTGTAATCTGATGATAATGATTGAACCATCGCGGTGAAACGGTAGTGATGGAGAGAGAGGGAAGGGAACGAGACATAGGTGTACAAGTTGGTCTATATATATATATATAGAGAGAGAGAGAGAGGCGGTGATGGGTAAGAACAGAAGAGAAGCATTTCGTGAACATTCCTTTTTGTCGTATAATGACCCACCCCCCCCCCCCCCCCACCCTCTTCCAGCTCTTTTCTGGAGATGACCACCCTTGTCCTTTGCTTTGATTTTTCTTCTTTCGTCACGTTCGTTCTTGTAATTTACCATTGTCCACGGAGACACAGAAATCGTCAATAAACTTAGTCGTAGATGTATCCACCACATGTGAGAGGTTAGAGGTCATGCACATCCTCTATTGAATTAGTTCCATGAAACATGATTGGGTCAAAGGTGACAGATGTAATACATATATAGGCTTCCTCCCCAGTCGCCCTTTGACTGGAGATTTGGAAATTATGATGAAAACTTGCGCCAGTACGAGAAATAATTTTTGTTCACGTTATCATACTCTAAGTATATTTATGTATAAAAACAAATGAGAAGAAAATGTCACATTTGGCAATCCATATATCAACAACACCAACCAAAAATATTACCTCTAAAATGTAATAGGACTTATTTTAGAAAAAGTGATGTCAATTGGACTATTCTACAATGTATTGATTTATGAATTCATGATGAGAATATGATGGAACAGATGTTAGCATGACAAATTTTTCTTCAACCATGACTCACTGTAAGTTTAAAGTTTTTTGTAAAGGTTTGTTCATTTATTTGTTCGTTTTTTGTTTGATGGTTTGTATGTTTTTTTTGGTTCTTTTCACACTTCACCATTGCTCTCTCTCTCTCTCTTCTCTCTTTCTCTCTCTCTCTCTCTCTCTCTCTTTCTATTTCCGCATCCTTCTCTCTCTCTATCTCTATCTCTTTCTCTTTCTATTTCCGCATCCCTCTCTCTCTCTCTCTCTCTCTCTCACCCAGCTCTCAAGCACTCTCTATCTGTTTATCTTCTTCTTGTTTCCATTTCTTTTTTTTTCTGGCCATTCGATGCAAGCACACGCCCCCGGTACTGACATCGCGCCACTGCCCCCCTACTTTTTTTTTTTTTTTTTTACATTGACCTGTCAACGTGAGAATGTTTTTTTTCTGTATCGAGGAATGCTCATATTTAATGACATACATATGTGAACAGGTGTACAATTATTTATTCCTGTCACGTGATCATGTCATGAGGTCATATATTTAGACATTTGAGCAAGTGACCGAACACAGGTTTATAACTGTTTAGTGGATTTAAAGCAAACACTATTTGTAACTGTCAATGAATATTATTTGACTCTTGAAATGAAACGGCTCTATACTAATATAGGCCAGAAAAACAGGCCTACATTCTGTGAAGGAATTCAATATCTCGATCTGGCTACATGACAGTGTAAATAAAAGTGTCAATGAATATTATTATTTGACTCTTGAAATGAAACGGCTCTATACTAATGTAGGCCAGAAAAACAGGCCTACATTCTGTGAAGGAATTCAATATCTCGATCTGGCTACATAACAGTGTAAATATTTCTGCCTATATATCATTTCCCACCACATCTTGATACCAAAGTAAACGCAGATTTGACATTAAATAGTTAATTCGCGTTACTGAAATTAACATTTTATTGCACTTAATAAATGTTGGCCTACTGTGCTTTCATGATATAGCCTCCCTATATTATGTATCACACTTATTTATATAGCACTCCTCTGTAAGCATTATCATTTCTCTGCCTCAGCTTTGCTATATTGAATAAGGGTGCTCCAATTTTTCTGCCAGGCACCTATTCACTTCACTTGGGTCGAGAGTGGCAAATGTAAATTGTTCCTTGACAAATGAGGCTGGCTGGGATTCGACCTGGGATTCGACCCGTCAAGCTCTCGACTAAAAGTAGAACGAATAAACCACTATACCACAACACTCCCACCTAATATAAATCATATCGCCATAATATATTACAGTCTCGATCTCTTTGAACCCAGTATCCCCGGCATCATGGCAAACAATGGCGTAGCTACTGGAGGCACAAGGTTGCACGTGCCCGCAGTCAAATGACAAAGAAAATATGGAAAAGAAGTAAAAGTAAAAAAAAAAAAGGGGGGACCAAGAGAAGGAGCGATAGTAATGAAAGGACAGTGAAAAGGAGGGGATATGACCCCTTTCATGCCCCCCTTCTCTGATCAGTGGCCTTAAAATCAACATTTGATTTCCGTGTGAGATCCGGGTGCAACCCCCTTCCCCCCCCCCCCCCCCCCCACCTTTATGATGTAAATGCCCCCAATGCCTGGACTCAGCCTACGCCATTATAATGACAATCCTTACCTGTGACAGCGAAGAGAATATCAAATCAATTAGTTGGAGCCTTATAGCGCTATTTATGGATGCAAAATTATTTTTGGATTTTGTTTAAAGAATAAAAATCGATTGGTTGCAAAATTCTAAACGCCCATCCTAATTGTTTTGGTCTGAATCAATAATTTCTGACGTCAATAACACTTTTTTTTCCAGTTATTCAAAAATACAAAGGAACGACAATCAGGGGAACGGCGTGAGCAGGAAAGCTGGGGCGATAGAGAGAGAGAGAGAGAGAGAGAGAGAGAGAGAGAGATATAGAAGCAAGGCGAGAATAAGAAGGGGAGGCAGAGAGTGGTGGGGGAGAGAGGCGATGAGAGGGGGTTAGAGGGGGGAAGGGAAAGAGAGAGGGCAAGAGGGGAGTGGGAAAAAGAAAGCGAATGAATCTTCTGAATCGCGAAATGTTGTGGAAATCAAACAGCTATAGCTTCGTAAAGGCATCGGTTTTTATTCATTCCAAGATTTAATTTCGAAACGGGGTTTTATCGGTTCGGGGTAAATATACCAAAAGTAAAGGGACATTTTCTACTTCTGAATTGTTTATCTGGCACCGTTGAATCCACATCCAAAGTAATGCTCTACGAATTTTGCCAATTTGCTTCAAATTCGCTTTTAGGAAATCCACTTCTTTTCAAATGTTTTGACGATTATCAAACTAACCAATGATCAAACAAAACTTTATGTGAAGTTAAAAATAGGAAGGTCGATCAAAGTGGGACATTCTGCACTCCGGGAAGCTTAATTTGATTTTTGATTTGTGTCCAAGAACTTGATAAGAAACTCAAGCTGAAACTCGTTTGCAAAAATCTGCTTCAAATTTGCGCAAATTCGTCTCGCAAAATGGTGGGGGGTCGTCAAAATTAAGCCGTTTAGGGGAGTATTGGATTTTGATCAAAGAAACTTCTCGGCTCATTCACTGCGGGTTTCTACGTCCAAATGAACATTTATGTTTATCCAATTCCCCGCCGTCTGCGATATAAAATGTGAAGATATGTGGAGACTTTTGCGTCGGTAGACCATTTTGAAAAAAAGGGTCGGGGTAGGCCAATTGTCCCTACAAGGCCCGGTCCACTTTTGTTATCATTTGCTGATTATTTTGTTTGGAAGGGGTAACAACCCCATCACCCTAGCGCCACCATTTGAATACGTGCAGAAACTTCTTTCTAATGCCAAGTATCTCTTAGACTCTTAGAATAACGGCACCTTGACCCCATGAAAGAAGAGTTGTCCAGTCGGTACTCTAGTTTCAAACTTTTCAGTGCATCAGACTATCTTCTTCTTTTTGTATTCTTTCTTTTTCTTTTTTCAATTTTTTTTAAAATATATTTTTTCGAATGGAAACACATACATATAATGCTTATTTTACCATAAGTATTTGGAATGATATGACCGTAAGACCGTAAAAGAGCCGTAAAAACCAAATGAACAACAACAATAACAGCAGAATGGAGAATAGGATAAGGGGGAGAGAAATTTATCATTACGAAGCAC